CTGTTCCAACTGCTGTACTGTGTTGTACTGCTGTGTTATTTATGATCTCCAGTACTGTTAAGAAAAGCAAGGAAATTGTAAGTTTATTTCCCTGCAAAAACTTATCAACTCCCTATTTACATAAGACAGTGTTGGAAATTTTAAAAATGTTAACTGAAATAGGATATAAAGTATTCAGCATTATTTCTGACAATAACAGCGTTAATAGATCGATGTTTCAGTTGTTGTGTGGATGTAGTTTGAAAACCTGATTTAAGAATCCATATGACAAACATCAAACAATATTTGTTCTCTTCGACACTGTACACATATTTAAATGTATAAGAAAACTGCCTCGAATCAAACCTGTATCGTTCCAGAATTGGATGATTTATCATCAGTCAATAAACTGTTTGCGTGTGTATCCCATTTAAAACTATTATACAGAGAAGAGGAAATTAATGTTATTAAACTTGTTCTGCGTTGAGCAAAAAGGCGTTGTTTCCTACTTATTTAGAACGTCAGAATGTTAACTTTTGTTGTGGGATTTTTTTACGAAAAATATATTGCTGCTCTTCAGGAAAAAAGTTGGTAAAACAAACATATGAATACAGTAATTGTACAGTAATGTTTTTACAGACTATCTTAAAATGGTGGAAAATAGTAAACGTTAAACACGACATCAAAGCGGATAGGTTTAGGGACACAAATCAGGACGCTATTCAATATAAATTATGACAACATTTCATACTGTAATGGTAGGACGTTTTGGGGAAAATTTTAATTCAATAAAAATTTTAAAATTAATATTGTAAATGATTTTCAATCAATCAAACAATTGTAGAAGTATCAGTTACAGCAGTTGGTTGAGTAAAGTAGATTGCTGAGTGTAAGCAGTTTTGTGCTGCTTCTTGCATTCAGTAGGTTCAATACCCAATTGTCCTCGGGAAAACTACATTAACATTTCACATAGCCTTAATAGAATTCACTCAAGAAGTGTATGTAGTTAAGAACCTGAATTGTTCTATGATCTTGGGAAATGATTTTCTTAAACATTGTGGGGTGATACTAAATTACCAAGAGGGTACCATAACTTTATCACGTGCTGGGGACAAAACACAAATTCCCATGCAGGTTAACGAAGTAGGTAAAACTCCTATAGCTCAACAAAATCCAATACCAAGTACTAGTGGAAAGACTTTGACTTCGGATAAATTAAACGTTAGTACAATGTCTTTAAAAACAAAACCTCCATGTAGTGTGCAGGACAGGTCAAACGGGATTTCCCCCCAAAATTCAGCAGCAGGAACAAACGCTAGATTAGGGGAGATCTTAGACCTAGCCGGAAACACAATCGATATCAATCCAAAGTTGCCACCGGTACAGTGTAGTGCTGTACACTCGCAGCAAGTCAACACACCATGTTTAGCAAAAACCCTTTATAGTCACAGCTTCCTTAAAGAGACTATTCATCAAATATATAGATTCTGTAGGCCTGATCAGGAAATCCCCTCCGATACGATCAGTAAACGTTACGTACAGAGATTTATTAGAGATTTCTTTCCTCGAATAAGCAGTGAGGGAAAATTTTATGTGAAGGAAGATAATGATAGCATGATTTTTATATCCCTGCTGATATACGAAACATGTATAAAATTAGAGATGGAAGAAATTATCACCAAAACCCAAGCCATCAAGTTGGAAGTGAACCAACATAAGATATTTTTCCAATTTTTGGAATTGATGTCAAAAATTCAAGAAGATGAAGTAAAAAAACCCAAAATGATGGAAATAATCCAGCAGTGCTGTGACTCCCTGGAAGAAGGGGCAACCGTCGCAGCTGAGCCATCCACCAGCTCAGGGTCTCAGGGTACACCTGGCCTTACCCTCTCTCTTTGTAAGAAAATTGTAAAGTACCATCGGTGGTAGACCTTTCACCAAAAAGCCACTCCTCCTTAGGAACCAGCGCCGGCTGGCCAAGGTAAGGCCGTTATCCTCTTTTAATATTTTTGGACTTAGAGCACAGATAGTTTTGAAATACTTATAAAGTCACTTAATACTTTTCTTATTAAATTCATAAATTTCATTACATACTTTTATTTTAAAACAATATATATATATTTACCAATTTCTATTTCCTCTTTGGTTGAATAGTTATTTTGAGAATAATAACATAAACAATTATATTTGATTGAAAATCATTATTTTGTCATTTAGTATTTGCCATTCATTGTTCTTGATATAATATTTATATTCTATTTTTCCCTGTATCTCTGTAATTATAAATACTACTTGTGTTGACAATATAATATAGAATTTTGTATAATCGAATCTCGAGTACCTTTCTTTGTGCTCACTGCCAAGCGAGCTCATCCCCCACAATATATTATATAATAATAAACATCATTTAAAAGAAGTAACACCTAAAAACGAACCGTTACAATACTTAAAAGTTTTTCTCAATTGGGTGAACAAATGGAAAGACATGTCTTTTCAGGGGATTCAATATTTGACAAAGGTAAACTCTAAGCTAAGAACTACGGCAAACTGACCGATCAGACACAACTTGTTTTAAGTCATACATTACAAGTTTTTATTGATATTGTAATCTACTTCAAGAATGATTTACATTATCACTATATATTATTAGGGATATTTCAAACCGATGATTTGGAAGAACGGTTTGGACAGTATGGATTAATAAGTGGAGCCTGCTATAATATAAGTCATTCGCCTTTTGGATCTGATGATGATTGGAGTGTCCAATCGAAATCAATCACCACTTAACATCTTTTTTTGTATATTTACCGTCTTGTGAGTTACAGTATAAACGTAAATAATGTTTTAAGTGTTATAAGACTATCTTTCATTTACTTTCCGTAAATTTAATGACACGAACAATGCTGATCAAGAAGTTAGTATAATATAAGTGTTCAACAAATTCTTGAATCTGAAAATAAGCTAAAAGCTATTAGCATGATAAAGGCTTATTCCTCTATGTACAATTGTGTAAATCTTAGTAAAATGTTTAACTTTGAGTTGCCAGACACATTGATTACATCTCTCTAAGCAGAGTTGAAGACATTAAGCTGTTTGGTGTTTGTTTTATACAGGGTGTTTGTGAACTCTCTCGAAATTTTCCACATTTTGTTATTCTTGTGTTTTTTTTTTGTAACTCTAGTGGTTCTCATGTAATTTGTGGTCAAGAATTTAGATGGCCGCCACTTTGAAACGGCTATAGTCACCGAAATGAAATTTTGCATGTTTGTGTACCACGTTAAAATACAAAAGTGTGTCAAATTTAAAGTTTGTACCTCGATTCAAACTCGAGTTATAAAGTTATTTATAAAAAACACATACAGACAGACAGACAGAAAACGAGGCTCCGGCGACCCGTGTTTATAATGTAAAATATTCATGTATTAGCCTAACCCAAGGAATAATCCTGTGAATTTTTTCGAGAGAATTCAAAAACACCCTGTATAAAAAATAGAAAAAAACAAAGTTCTCACAACTTTCTGTTGCTGATTTGTTCAAATAAGCTGTTGTCATAAATGCAAATAAAGTGCTGTACCCTGTTGGTAAACCTTATAACCTATTAATGCTATTGAATATCATAGAGTCAACTTGTGTAGTTGAAACCGCTGACAAAATTCTTTAATATGAACACTGATAAAGTTAACATGGGAAACTCTAAAGCCACTGGAATTTTGAGATAAGAATATGTCTATAATAAAGACATATCCTTAATATGACATATAATATAATATTCTTAATAGACAAATAATTAACATATTATGTTCATCGGAAATGTGAGCTATCATCATACTAAATTTCAACTCAATCCGACCATTAGTTAATGCTTGATTTAATTTCAAACAAACAAACACTCAAACCTTCAAATTATTAATATTGATATGATAACGTTGGTTATACTTTTTTTAAACATGGACATAAACTTTAAAGTCGACTCCTTAATTTTCGACCTCCAGATATATCGGTAAAAAGTACAATTATTCTTCTAAATATTACTTTGCGCTTCTATTTCTAGAGAGAAAAAACAGTGGTATTTGATACGTCACATGACTGCCTTCACACAAGCGCTTTGGAAGTTCACTCCTATATTTTGAGCCTTTTGTAACTCCAAAATTTTAAATTTTAAACGTAATTAAAACTTTTTTCTTAGCTCGCTTTCTTGTCTGTTCAGTACAAATTTTGCAATCGATTTTAAAGCAACTTCCCGATGAGGTGTACACTTGAAACTTGAAACATAGCTCAAAAATGGATGACAATGCAATAAAAAATAATTTTATTTTCATATTTTATGAGGTTTCAGAATTTTTGATGTTTACATTTTGATGGATTTAATATATCAGTTGAAGTCAGCTGTAAATACTTTAACTTGACGGTTGGTATAGTCTTGCATTTTTTGATTTGCTCTAAATTTATCGTATTTTGTATGTAAAATATTCATGTATTAACCCAAGGTAATGCTGTGATTTTTTTCGAGAGAGTTCACAAACACCCTGTATAAATTATTTAAGATGGGAAAGCGACTATTTGTGTATTTTAACCCAAATATGAGTAAAGGGTAAGTGGTGCGATCTTGCAGTCTTGTTAGTGACTAAGGCCGACATTTTCCTTAGACACAGCTGTTAATTAATAGACCATACAGCGAATGGCAACTAAGAGACCTATAGTTTATAATGGGGTCCGAACTACACTTCTGTCTTGGTATTAACGAATCTTTCTAATTATCAGGATACTGTGGATGGTCGTAGTACTCACTAGTGCGGACGTTAATCCACACCAGGGAGTATTGCATCCACAGTGCATGGCTATAAATATCCACAATTCGTGAACCCTTTTAGCTGGGTTAAAGGACGACGCCACCGTCCCAGTCAGTTTAGGTGCAGTGGTAGAAAATGCTGGGCTATTGTAGATTTTCATTATAATTTCTCGACGTCAAGTAATTTGTGATTATCATAAACAGTTAATTTATGTCAGGTAAAACGGAAGTTCATACATAGTTGATTATTTCCCTTTGACTTCAAACATTTCCAATGACTGCCTAAGTGATATGTCTGGACGTTGCAGTGGAAACCCTGAGAATCTGCTTCTACTTTGGCTTGGCTTCGGAGCGACGTTTCTATTTATGATCAGCTGATCATGCTTGGCTATTTCGTTGTCCCTCATGCACAGCAGACGACTCACAAGAAACTGAAATAAACGATAACCTCAAGATTTGAAGTAAATTAAAAAGGGATAAATCTGTCTAGTTTTCAAGAGATTATTAGAATTAGTATAAATTTATTCATCACGACATTACTTTTAAAGATGACAAGACTTGAAAGAGTAGTATTATTCATCGTAAACGTTATGAGATTATGTTAAAACACTATTTGTAAACCTTTGAGTTTTGGGGTATAACTTTTATAAAAAAAAAAATATCACAAATCGTGCAATTGTACATAAGATTTTCATGCAAAAATGTTTGGTCTCTGTATACAGGGTGTCCCGTAACTCTCTGGACACATGTATATAGCGTTATTGCTTAGGTCAAGACAAACACATTTCACCGTAGGAACATGGGTCTTTGGTGCCTAGTTTACCGACTGTCAGTATTTATGTGTTTTTTACAAAAACATTAATAACTCCTCAACGGTTTGGAATACAGCGTTGAGATCTTAAACAATGCTAATACTCACAACAATAAACTATGAAATAATCCACAAACTTCCTAAAAAAATCCCATTAGCCATGAACGAATACTTACAAAAATAGCATAAACTGCTATTGTGCATGAAATGCTGAACACCACCAGACCCAAGATGTACAGAAAAGTCAAAAGTCCAATTGATACGTGGACTTTGAGCCATTCTTGAATTTGTGAAAGATGCGTAATAATCTGGAAAAATATTAATTTATTCAGCTAATGTTAATTGTTGTTTATGTGTATTTTGGATGTCGTATTTATCTTTCGAGGATAAAACAAACAAAAAATTGTTTTTTTTTAAATTTACCTTATAAGACTATTATTTTGGTATCATATGCGATTAACATTTTTTACTTACAAAAGGGTAATGGTGTCATTTCACAATTTTGAAATGTTCATAAGAAGAAAAGTTCCTAACACACAATTGGATTCAATTTTATAGGGGTATAGAATATGTTGTAAACACTTAAACTCATCATGTCAGTTTTATAACGCATTCTGTCATTAGTATAGTCATTATATGAACTTTAATCAATTCAATGCGTTAAAGTTACTATGAATTATTTTTAGTTAACGTATTATTCTTTCTTATATCCGGGATTAGGGGACCGCCATGTTGTGTTTTATTTACAATAAATTCCCAACAATTATCTACACTACTCTAAACTAATTCAAACAACACATCCAACGATCATCAACAATGAAGAAACACTTTCCGACTGAAACAGAGCTCAACAAATAACCTTTATAGCTACTTATACGACTCATAAAGTACGAGTGCCAACAGGGTGTAAGTGACATTAGGTTAAGCGACTCTTAGAAGCGTCTCCAGAAACCGAGCCTCTCTCGGATGAAAATGTGAAATAACATTTAGGGTAGGGTTTCATAATGTACATTATTGTATCGAGTTGCAGGTCGGCGCGCAGGTCGGGACATGCGCCATGAGTCATTGTTGCGGGATCAGTCAGTCTGCGTTTCGGCGCTTCTGCTAAAGTACCCTCGCCGCCGCTTGCGCCGAGCCCTTAAAATTACGTATTTTCCCAAATTTTACCCCGACTTCAAAGTTCCAGCGAGTCAAGTAAGTCTGTTTTCTGGGATTCTTTATGAGATTCTCTTTGGTTTAGCGTAGAGATTGTAATAAATTTTGTAAATATAATTGAACATATTTGAATGTTATTTGGAAAGTTTTTTTTTATATTTGGGGATGGAAGACTGATGGTAAAATTTAACACGATTCGACGTACTAAGTAAGTTCTTTTTGACATTAGATATCTTTACTGGCGTCTCATTTGGTAAAGGAAGAGTTATTGCATTAACACTATTGAACAATTAATTATAGTTAGAAAACATTTCAAAACTTTTAGTTGGAAATATTGTAAACATCGAAATTGTTTATAGTTATGTTTAACAGTTAACAACAAAATTGTTAAAACATATTAGAGGAGTTTCCTATTGAATTATAAAAGCTCTCTTTAAGGCTATAATACTATTAAATTTAACGACTTTTTAGAATTTCTCTTTATAGAAAACTAACAAATTAAACTTGTACGAGTCAATAGGTTTGACTTAAAAGATATCTAATTTTAATTTGACATAAAACAGCGGGTGCTTCATATGTTTTAAAGTTTTAGATTTAAGAACTACATTTAACAAATAACAGCACAAACCATACTTCCAAATATATATACTTCAAATCAATGTTGGGTTAAAAAAACCATATTGATAAGAGGAAAAACTCTAGATTATGGTTTTCTTCGGTTTACTTAGCCTATTTCAAATGTTAGCAGGGATGCGTGTGTTAATCAATGCTATCTCACTAAAAACGAAATAAAAAGCATGCCTTCATGTATATACAATTTTCCCTTAAAGCGTTCTCTGCAGTAAAATCTTAAAAGTATTTTTTTATGTTCATATTGTTTTGGAGGTATATAAAACTTTTTGTAATTTGAAGACCATATCAATGAATTCAATTGAAATACTGATAGTTATAAACATATCAAGTTATCAGAAGAAATAGTACAATAAAATATTGTAACATAAATCTCAGTAAAAAACAACTATCACAGTAGCTAAAAAGAAGTCTTTTGATGCTTGGATGAGCCGGTATACTGAAAAGACTTTAAAATATAGGATACAAATAAGGTTTTGTTAGTTAATAACGTAAAAACCAAATTATAAGTTTTAGAAAAAAAAATTGATAGATGGTTTTATATCATAAAGTTGTCATATTTTCTAAAAAGTGGTGTTCCACAATGTGTCCATGCCCGCAAAGTAATTTAACATTTAGATATATCAAATTAGGCCCATAATATTTTAGGTTTATATAAACTAAAATGAAAATTCATTGCCGAGAAATGTTTTGTATGGTATCTACAATACACTTTGTTAAAGTTTGTCAACCGCCTCTTACTTAAATTTTTGTGTTTTCAAAAATTGATTTTTAAACGGATAATAGTTCATTCAATTTTTAAATCCCGTATAGAATAATATTGTCAATTGTTAACATTATTTCAAAATAATCATATTTCTTTAACAGTTTTCTAAATCGTACCGTTTCACTGTTACACCTTTTTTTTAAATATTTAGATACCTGAATTAGGTTTTGATCTACAGAACAATGAAATTAGGAATTGTGTTCAAAAATATTAATAATCTAACAAATAGTGAAATTTGCAATTGTTTTACCAAAAAGCTTTATCTAGTTATATTAAAAGTTTAAATAACGCACAAAAATTGATTGGTTCAAAAAAATAAGTACGTACTACGTTAATTGTCTCATTATTCTCGAAAGAAAACTTCTAGGTGGGAGACAGCAAAGAATTTTATTTCAATGTATGACTGTTATACTTTTGCATAAAATAAATTTGCTATTATGAGCACCGTGTATGTATGCGTGACTAAAAAAAACTTTTTACATTATCCGAAGTAAAATTATATCTTTGACGATCACAATAGCATGTTTAAAATTTTATTGAACAGTGCAAGAAGTTAATTTACCGAGCAACTCTAAACATTTCTTAAAAAATATTAAAACTGCCAACATCAGAATTGTGGGTAATTTTATGTCGCGTGGATAACGCTAAACGCACAAAGATAACTTATATTCCGCTGCCATCTGTTCATAAGATACGCTAAGTTAAACATTATAAATAATAGTGGTTAGGATATTTTTTCTTATTCACAATTCCACTTTGACTGTACTACCAGATATAGTATAACATTTTTACAAAACTATTTCAGTTAGAAAACTATTGAACAATTATCTTTCCTTCAATCACATATTAATAATAATCCACTTATTCATGGATTAACCTTGCTATAATTTAAATTGAAGCTCTATCAGTTAAAACAATAATTCTAAGAACAGGAATTGTAATATTTATTCGTAAAATTCAATGGCTAGTAGTATCTAATCTGCGTATAATAACTAATATCTATTCATTGATTCGTGATAGGTCTTGACACCTGTATTTAACACTAAAAGGTAATTTCAAACTCAAAGATATATTTTAAAACGTTCTGTACATTTTTCTTGGTTTTGTTTTGTTTTTAATGCTAGTCGATTCAAATGTCCTTTAATTAAAATCCAATATTCAGTGAAAGAAAAATGACATTTAATAATACTCTAAATTGAACTTTGAAAACCCCCTAGTATTTCCATAGTTTTCTCAAATTCTGATATTGTTAAAAGTTATAAAATATAATTTGCTAGAGGAAATAAAAAAACTGGTTTACAAATATTGTTTAACAAACTCAATACCTACAGTTCAAATATGGTGCAAAAATAATCCTAGTATAATAATGAGTTGAAAACTCTGGACTTTTGTCTAGAACCGTACACATAAGGTATTAGTATTTTAAAATGTTTGGTAGAAAAATTTTTTCATTTTTATTTTTTTATGTTCTTTCTTTGTCTAAAATTGCTTTTCACCACTATAACACAAATTTTCTCATAAAATTGAGAATTAATAAAGTTAAGTCAAAATTCTCCGTCGAATTGTCGTTGGCATGAAATAACTATCATTTTTACATTTACATCAATAATAAAACGAATTCAAAGCCAGTTTCGAGATTTAAAGAGATCTCCCGTCGGCGCCACACGGCCGCGGCCCCTAGAGTGATAAATGATTTCACGGGTAACTTTCAAGTGGAAAATACTTTTGGGCAAAAGTTTGTATTCATTCTACACACTCTAACTTGAAAAAGGTCAAACACTTGTATACTGTCCATCAAGATGATTACAGAAAAGGACTTAAAAGTAAAGGGATTCGAACGGAAAACATTAAATTGAAACTTTTTTTAGTTAATTGGTGATATCGTTCATAAAAGTATAAAACAAATCTAATATCACAAAAACTACTATATGTAGGCCTATTAAAGTAAAAGAAATCATAAATATAACTACCCGCGGAATTCAACTGAACATATTGAAGAAATAGGTAAGTAACATTTACATATAGTAGTAGAAATTTTGTTATGTAAATTTTAATGGAGTAATTTGACGCAAATCAGTAAAGTAACTTATTGTATTATTTCAAAGTTTTAATTACAGCTTAAAACGATCTTACTTAGTGAAAGTAAAATAAATACCAATCAAGTTTTCTAAAATGATAGCATTAAAATAGAAAACCATGTAATTCTATTTCTTAAAAAGATTACTAACAAGTTTTAAACTTATTAGGTACCGGTAGCTAATGAGATTTTTAACGCGTTATATAACGTGCGAATTATAAAATACTTCCTGAATCATAAATACCCATTTACCTCAAATATTGTAAATTGAAAGAGAAATAATTTTATTTTAGTATGATTTTATCAAATAACCTGTTTTATATTAAACAAAGTCGTTTTTACCAGCTTAAATTATTCACTAAGTAATTCAAAAGAATTACGCAAAACCTTTAAACAAAATAATAATGTTGTTTAAATATACAAATAAAACTTATTTATCTCAATCAATACTATTTATACCAGACAAATGACCATTCGGCTGTAAAATGATATATGCTTTAAATGACATAAAATTATGAAATTAAAATTGACTAACCTGTATAAATTAAGTCAAATCTATTTCTTTCAAGAACATATAATTCAGTAATAAAACATACAACCATGCATATTTTATTATCATTTAAGTTTATTGAAAATACATGGTATTTAGATAACACAACTTGCTTGAAATCACCTTGAGAGTATTTTGTTTGCATTTTTGCTAATTAGATTTTTTTGCATAATAACACATAAATAACATAATTTTATCTGGTTAAATTTATGAAAACAGTAAATTATCTGGAGTGGCAATTTTAGTACAAATAGGCCTATGATATTGTAAAATTATTTTAACTCTAAAACATTTTAAATATCTTGAATCGAATTGTTTGAAAGAATTTTCAATGTTTTGAATTAGCCAGTAAAAAAAGACATATCTTACTAAATATAAGTAAAAGATTGCATCATCAAAAAATCAACCCAAATTGTTTCAAAATTATCTAAACCTGTTTAAAATTAGAGTGACGGCATTTTCAGCGTAACATTTCAGCTTAAAAAATATTACTAAACGAATGAATCAAAAAATAAATAATAACTCATATCAAATTGGTGCAATAACATCAAAATAAATAACAAAGTCCATAACTTGAAAATGTAAAATAACCTGTTTTAAATTAAGTAAATTAATTTAGTAAAATCTAATTTAAAGTATCTTACTAATTATGAACAATTTCTAATTTTCGCTTTAATTCATTGTTGGACTTGGTAAGCATACAATCCGAAGTCAAACATACATAATTAAAACAGGGAAATGTAAAAATTATACCTGCGACAATGCAGGGTTCCAACTTGATCTTTCTTTGCGAACTGCTTAAGTAGGAATTCCCCAACTGCTGTTACTTTTAATTAATAAGAATTTTCAAGCGCCCTAAGTGTCTCCGCACTCATTATTTAGTTTTAATGTTTAACGTTGTTTTTGTGTGGTTAAAAAGTGTTTAAGAGCTGGTTTGTAACAATATTTCTATTAACGAATAGAAATTTATAGTTTTTAAAATTACGTATGGTGCTAAAATGTATAAAAACTTACATTTTTGATAATAATTGTTTTTACCTTAGTTGTTTATTAAGTAGTTATATCATAAGAACCGATTTTTGTATACCATAGTAATTTAAACTTTTATGAGTTTAAATATGTTATTGACTTTTTTGTTACAGGGAAAATAAATATTTTTAACGATATTTTGAATCCTTGTTTTAAAACGATAGTTGATTGAAATACAGATAATAAAAGGATAGTTGTAATTGTAACAGATAATATAAAAAATATTACCATTGGCTATTGATATCTAATAGTCAATTATTTATTTAATGAGTCTTTGAAATATTTAGAAAAATTTCATATAATTTATTTAAGTTCCGATTCTGGGTTAAAAAAGTTGTATTGCTATTTAACCGCCTGTAAAATTAAATATATCATTTTAGAAAGGCCATAATGGATTTAGATAAATTGACAGTTTATAAGCAGATTTAAGTTAAGAAAGTATTATATGAAATACAAGATATAAAAATATACGTTGGGTAACGTAAACAAATAAAATATCTTATAAATATCTTTCGTTTTCAAACCTAAGCTAAATCGATGTATCGCAAAAGTCACTTAAAATGTTTTAAACACTATTAATGAAATGTCTGACCATTAACTTGTTAATATACATTTTCATTACTCATAAAATATAATATTTTACGTTAAATATACTTACCGAGTTTACTCCGGACATGTTGTAAATATCTAATATGCAAGTTATTTAAGACTATTTGCCTTTATGTATAGTTGAGGTTGAAGGTTGTCAGTGTGTTATAGATAGTAATAAACAATAATTTATACACCAGTTTGTTAAAAGTTAGAAGTAAATTTAAACTTATAAGAGAATGTTTTGTAACATAGGTTACCACGCAACTATTTTACGATGAAAAATTGAACAAAAACATATTGCAATTATGTACAATTTCTACCAAATACTTTTTTAAGGTATTTACTCAGGGGAGGTATAGAAGAGGCTACGATGACAGCTGTGGGCTTCTTATTAGCTGAGGGAACGCCATTATCGTAACAAAACGGTCAGTGGTCATCGGCCTCGGTGGTCTAATGGTTAGCGTGCCGGGCTGATATGCTGAAGGTCCCGGGTTCAAATCCCGCTCGTAGTATTATCTTTTTGTCCAAGATTTTTTTATTATCAGCAAGTTTGGTTGGTTTGGTTCGGTTATGACAGTTTAATTTTATTATTAAGTCATTATAAAATTTTAGTAGAGCAATTTCTAGTTTTATTTAATAAACAGAATTATTTTTTCTATTAATAAACTTTTGTTATATTATTTCATTATCAGCAAGTTTGGTTAGTTCGGTTAGGTTATGATAGTTTAATTTTATAATTAAAAAATAATAAAATTGAATTTGAGGCATTTATAATTTTATTTTATGAACAGAACTATTTTTGCGATTAGTAAACCTTCTTTGCCAAAGTACTCTCTACTACAGCGCTGTTCACGGAGGAATTTTGAACTAATGCCTCATTCGTACCTCCCCTAAGTCAGACCCCTTTTTTAATAGGTGTTTGATTAAATGTCTCAAATACCTTTTAGGTTATAACTAAAATAGATATATAAGATTAACTTTACTTTTTGTATTCTTGAAAAATAGATGCATTTTTATATTAAAGATTAAAAATATTAACTAAAAAACGAGTAAGTATTTTTGTTTTAATGCACATCTCTAAAAAGAAGAATATTTAAAATTAGTAGAAATTTATACATATAAATCATTACTATTTGTTTTTTATGGCTATTTAAGAAATATTTTTTCTCACTGAAAATCTTTGAAGTTAATGGAATTTAAGTAGACCAAAATAGGTGTAAAACAGTAAATAATACTAGACATTTTGACGGCGTACAGTTATGATTCGGGTACATACCAAGATATCTAAGATTTTAATGTAATAACATACTAGTTTAAACAGGTTTGTTTGTTAAACCTTGTGAAATAATATAAAACTGTAAAGAGTGATTAGACACCTTCCTCATACGACCAACGTGTTCAATGAATGCTCAATAGTTGAAGTAATCGTATGTAAATTCAAGTAGTTCTAACACTATGGAAATTAGTTCAGTGTTCATACCTTAATAGATAATTACTGTGCAGGTTCGATTAGATGGTAATTTTACCTTGAAATCGTTATCCAACTACAATCTATATTTATGTAAATACAGGGTGTCCCGGAACTCTCTAATAACTCGAAAACGGTTGATTTTATAAAAAATTTACAAGAATAACTTTTTAAAGGTAATTTTAATAAAAATCTATTGACACCTTATTTGTTAAGATTGAACGAGTATTAACTGAGATATGGCAATTTTAATAATGCGCAACCGCTTTCAGCATGCGCTGTAACTAACCTCCATTGCCATATCTCAGTTCATACTTTTCCAATCTTGACAAATAAGGTGTCAATCGATTTGTATTAAAATTACCTTAAAAAAGTTATTCTTGTAAAATCAACGGTTTTCAAGTTATTTAAGAAACAAAATTTTAAATGGTCGCCATTTTGTTTTATAATTTTGAAAAATCTTAACACTTTTTTGGTAGCTTTGTCTAGTGTTCATAAATGTTTGTGCAAAGTTTCCATTTCGTATGTTTAAATATTCTTAGAAAAAAATTAAAAACTGAAAAAAACAAAATGGTGGCTGTGTGAGTAACTAAGGACTTCCGGACAATTTAAATGTGATATTTAGGTATGTTTCTTACCCAGGAGCAATGCCCTAAAATATTGGTAGAGAGTTCCGGGACACCCTGTATAAGAAGCCTCCAAGTTCCAGCCAGAAGACTAAGTTTTACTAGTAATTAGGTATTTTTGAAATCTTTTTATCAATCTTTGCATCCTCTATAAATGACTAAATGCTTTCAATTTCCTCTTTAATAAAGAAAACAATTTCAAACCGCGTGCATAAAAAGATTGTTGTTGACTTTTATTTTACATTCTAGTTAGTTTACCCATGTTTCATGAAGGGGCAAGGATGTAGAAGTGAATAATGTTAATCTTTTAATCCACTTAGGGCAAGAGTTACTCACCCTACTTAGAGAAAAACTTAAACGAGTCACTTAGAATTGTTATAAAACTCATAGCATCCACTCTTATATTAGCCCACATTTACAACAAATATGGTAAAATTAGAATAACTTAACGTAAACTAGTTGCTTTAAAGAGAATGTGGATCTTTAAATCTACTGTAAAAAGAATCACTTATACACACCATTAATATCTCAATAACACTGTTGATTCCTTTGAATATCTGAACAAAATATATACATTATTGACTCAATAAAAAAAACCGAAAGTTTAAAACTTTGCAAACTTATTTCTAGGTACATAGGGAAGACCTTGGTACTAAGGTTTTTTCGGAGTTTAAACCTTTTCTTGACTGGACAATCTGTTTGGTTTATTTATTTTAAATCAGCTGTGTGACAGAATCACAACTAATAACTTATTCATAACATGACCCACCAATATTTTGAAATGCGATTAAATATAACCTTTTAATTAAAGTTCGTTCTCTTAAAATATGGTTTATCAAAAACTAATAATCCGTTAGGTAAATGTCCTGCTTATGGTTTACATCGACGTTTTAGTTGTGAACAATTCCATGTAAACTTAGCGGAGGCTAACACTGTAAATTTTATTTTGTTGATTGAAGATTGGTGTCTTCTTTTATTTCTTCAACTCTGGTCGTTCATGGACCGTACCCTAAGGAGGTTGAAAAACAAGAATAGATATTAGTCTCATTGGACTTATGATCTACCTAAGCCTTCTTTTTTACCTGAAGAGGGGCTGAGTGTAACATTTAGTTGAGTAGATTCGGTGATTCTTGTGTTCTTGGAAAAGAATTACGGACATGATTACATAAATTGCTTCTCCTTTAAAATTGGGTACACATTTTTCGTCTCCTTTTATAATTTTTTTTCACAATTGTTTCGACAAATTTTAGTTTTTTTAACGATGGATAGTTATAAAGAATAAATGGGCTGAATGCCAAATTGAATTAAAACCCGTATCTTGAAATAAAAAACACTTTACTGTTTTTATAACCTTTCACCGACCGCGTAATCTTTTATGGATATTTATTTTTCGTATGTGAAACACATTGGACAAGATTATGAAAGAAAAAGGTCATGAATGTAAAAGTGTTATAACTAGATATTTTTCTATGATGTAATTTAAACCATTGTTCCATTGTTTTATTTATTTTTTATTGCTGCATAGTGTAAAAAACGTGTCACCCCGTCTTAACATAAAAAATTCAAATCACAATTTTAAGCAATAATAGCAATTTCCAATTCTTCTAAAGTCGTACTTTCAACTCTTTAGTAAAATGTTAACCAGCGAAAAGCTCTTTACTTTTTTACCTACTAGAAAAATCAACCCTTCTAGAATACAGCCGCTTGTTAATACGAAAGTAGATTATCGAGTTTCAGTTATTTGGTCCAAGTTTAATTAAATCACCAGATGAATACCGGTCTGGAGACAAGAGCTTATCTCGGCCGACTTAATCAAATCATCATCCATTGTCAATGTGGGGAGACTGAGATCAATTAGAGAATCTGGGATGCTTGTAATTGTTTTACGCTTGTTTCTCGTCTGTAAAATTGATTTTCAGGTTAATAAGTTTGAAATTATAACTAGGACTAATTAATTACTTTTAGGGTGATTTGTTCAGTGTGCTTAAAACTTGGTTACGATACTAAGGGATGAACTAGGTAAAATAAACATAAGTTAAATATCCTGTGAATAAAGATAACACGTTGATTTTCTCAAGCGTTACAAGTCATTGTTTTCAATTGTTAACTCATCCGTAAGGATGATACATTTATAAGAAAAAATTGTTTTTCATTGACTTGGAACCATACCGATATTTTGCGATCAATCCTCATTTGTTAATATAATATAAATATAGTTTAATAAGTTTGAAATTACAATGATGTTGTACAATGATGCTGTTTTTTTAGCGTAGAAAGCTGTTTTTTGTTGTTGTTGTAATAATACCAAAGATCAAGCTGTAGTTAACAAAATAGCCTGAAGTTAGAAACAATCTAATCCGTTAATAGAATGCAAGTATTACTGGTCATCGTTTTTGTTTCAAATTTATTATCTTTTATTAATATGACATACTTTACAAACGAGTCTGCTTATTCCACATCGGATGCTACTCAAAACTGAGTCCAGTTTGAGTACATGTGACATGATACTCAAAAATTTGCCAACAGCTCTACTTTTATCATACTTAATGTGCTCCTAGCAATTCTTTCGTCTGAAGCAACATTTTCGTCTTCCTCATCTCACCTTCTTGGTGGAGTTTCATCTTTTCAAATATGTATTTGCTACCTCAGCCTCCAACATAAAACATTTGATCGAAACACAAATTTTCCCGTTTAACTTACCAGGGAGACCATTCAATAAATTTTTCAAATATTTGACTCTAACCTGGAAAGTATTAGTCGGGCACTCTTCAAGATATTTGAGTGGAAATATTGCTCGGCTACAATAATAAGGTTGCCAGTTGGTCATCAGAAAGAGTAGTAGGTTGCTATGGTCCAAAAATGAATCCAGCTGTCCATGAACGTTTAAATAAACTGTCCTAAAGTAAATATAATCTTGGGAAGTATAAAACATACACAGGTTCTATCACTCGGTTCTACCATTGTTCTGCTCTTCTATATTCAGGTTTAAATACGTACCGTAGGCATAGGTGATATCCGTTTTTGTCATGTTAAATTTATGATATGATAAATATGACAGCGCTCTAAAAAGCAACAAGATTTCTTGGTATTCTATTCGAAGTAAACAATTTCATGAGTTGTTTCCC